CTACGAGGCTACCATTGCTACCACTCGCATGGTAGCGGAGCCTCCTTGAGAGGCTCTTGTGAGAAGAGGATCCAGGTGTCAGGGACCGCATAGCCGCCCCTGAAAAGAGTGGAGAGCAATGGAGAAGGTGACAAAGTCCAAAGAGGGCATCCCTCAGTGGAATGGAGACGCCAGAAGCTTCCAGGAGATGTCACTGCTATGGGATCAGTCGATTCCGTACCACAAGAGATATCTCAGTCGACCCAAGCTCGTCTCCGAACTGTCAGGATCAGCGCGGAAGCTCATCGTGGGCAAGCGACCCGACTGGCTTTCGCATGCGCAAGGCGTGGAATACCTCACGCAGCACCTACGGAGGAGCTTGGGACGGCCGCAATCCGGGAGTTGACGGAGCATCTGAACCGCTACTTCAGGGGCAGCAGCCGCAAGAAAGGTGAGACAATGAACGACTACATCACCAGGAAGTCAGAAGTCTACGCACGGGCCAAACAGGCACTCATGAGGGTTCAACAATACAAGAAGACAAGAAGTGAGAACCCCCATACCTCCAGTGCCTCCAGTCAGTCAAACTGGAGTTCATGGCAACCACAAAGGTGGAACTACTGGCAGGACAATGACCAGTACGACCGATGGCATGACTGCGACCGGAGCAGGACAAGAAGAAACCGGTGAGGACCTAGAAGACCAACGCTCGTCACAGGCGATGACACCATCAGGGCCATGGGCAGCCTGGCGTCGACACAGGCCTACGGATGAGCACGAGGCGTGGGTTCATGAAGAAGAGCTTCTACCAGAATTCCTTCAGGCTTGGTATTTGCTGGCTGACGCAGGACTCAATGCTCAAGAGAGAAACATGATCCAGACGGCCATTGGTGAAACATATACCATCCAGCGGATGTCACAAGAGTTACGCGCACAATGGCCAGAAGATGATCTCCAACGAAATCAGCTACCACAACCTAGAGCCTCAGGATACTGGCATGAGAGAAAGGAAGACTCAGAAGACGATGAGACAGAGGAGGCAATGACCTCAGCGGCAGCGTTGATTGCCAATGGCATGAATGAAGAGGGCATCGCACTGATGACCGCAGCAGTGGAGGCCGAAGAAGAGGCCATGACAGCACTCCATCAAGCAAAACGAACACTCCGTGAAGCTTGAGCAAAACACCACCAGGTGAAACTCAGCCGACAGTACTACAAGACCACTGAGAAGACCTACAAGGATGGGAAACCTACAGGTGGGTCAGGGACGTCAGGAGTCAAGTGCTTCCGTTGCGGAGGACCTCACAAAGTCGCCCAGACCGCCAGGCACCTCGGCGAGACCAGGCACATCATGCGCAGGAGGAAGCACCATTTGTGCGTTTCTCGGACCTCCATGAGATTGACGAAGACGATGGCTACTTCACAGCAGATGAAGGTTGTGAGAACTGTGAGACTGAGTACCACCACGGTGACCTCCAGGAGATTGAGAATTACACCACTACGGGGGAAGAGACAATGACCTGCCAGCAGACCAGCTGGAGCCTATGCAACAGATGACACAGGCAGAGCAACACGGACCTTGGCCTCCGTTCACGCTCTAGAGGCTATGGTGAATGAGAATCTCCGCAACATCAAGATGGTCGAGTCCTTGAAGTGGACACGAGCAATCAGCCACTTTTTGGCTTTGGAAACAGTAGCCAAGAGAAATGTTTGAGCACGGCCAAGATGAAGATTGTGGCCAATCAGAAAGATGGAGTTTTGACCGTGCACACTTTAGACAAGGGCGTAGGACCTATGCTCCTTTCCATCGCCACCTTGAGAGCCTTGAAGGCGGTGATTGATTTTGAAGAAGATCTGATTTGCTTCCGGGCAATAGACCCGGATCGGGTCATCCAGTTGGAACGCTCCCAAGCAGGACACCAGCTCCTGTCGATGACGGATGACCTGTACAAAGACGCTGTTCCATGCGCCAAGCCGGCGCCTAGCTTGCGAGCATTTTGCCGCTAGGGACAGCTCCTCCCGACCTTGCCGCCTGACGGGGAAAGGGAGGAGGCAGTAGCAGATCAGGTTTTTGACATGTCAAGGGATTCAGCTCAAAATGATGACCAGGGTGATATTGTTGGTGTTGTGTCTGATGGTTGTTTTGGTTGTAGGGGTGAAACCGGAACCAAAGGGGAGAACAACACACAAACATACACTTGTACACGGCAGCTCAGCAGCCGCCACGAAGATCAAGAGTGTGAGCTAGTACGTGCTTCTCGTTCTGAGCTTAGTTCCAGCTTTAGAGAACATGCCGACCATCCAGAGTCTCAAGAAGGCCGAGCTCATCGAAGCAATTCGTGCCTTGGGGGAAGAGCCACCAGCGAAGTGGGGAGTGACGGAACTCCGGGTCATGCTGAGCCAGAAGGCTGCGCTAACAATAT